TATGAAATGTGTGGTAATGTAAAATATGTCCTTTAATAGGTGGCTACTCATTGTGTGCAGTTTAGTCAAATCAAAATCTAAGAATATTTATAGAAGTTAGACCATCAGAAATACTTAATAGTGCCATGTTGTTTGTAGCAAGTTCTTGCAATTATCTATTGCGTGCTGAGGTTCATGTATACTTTTGATCACAATCTCATAGGTTTTTGATGTGCACAGCTCTTATAAGTCCAATTTGTGTTTTTAACATTATCTGCAGAAGAGTTTTCTCTAGTGAACAGATTGTAAATTGATCTGATGCTTCTGATTTATTTAGGAGAAAGCAACTGATCCTGACAGCAGACTAGCTTGATGAACTGAGTTATGTAAAACAAACAAATTATTCCATCTTTTAGCAATGATGCAGTAATAGTTCACACTAAGTAATGACCCTTCATCTAAGGATAGGGAATTTGAAGGATTATTTTAACTAAGGGAGGGAAAGGAAGAGGTGTGGTAAATCTCAGAAGAAGAGAGCATTTGTCGCTCTCTTTAGAAAGCACTGGTAGGACTTTGAATTAGGAATTTGGATTTCTTTATATTATTCAACATACCAGATCCTGTTTCTCTTGATTTTGAAATAGCCAAGAAAGAGATGTATTGCTCCTACTTGGAAAACCACTTCAGGTGGTCTTTCTAAAAAGTGTGTTTTTGCATGGTTTTCTGCTGTATTTCCAGTCTTCCCTTCATTTTGGGATTGGCAAACACCTGTTTTCTCTTTGGCTAATATTTTTGAGGTACCTTTAATAAAGAATTTAATTTAAAACATCTATTTAGAGTGCCTTTTATAGTAACAGTTTCATTTAATGTTTCTGGATTTGCATGCTTCCAAGTAATTTTTAATTCATTTCTCTGTAAATTAAACAGCTAATGCTGAGAGAGATATGCAGTCACTCCAGTGAAGTGATTATGAATTCTGCACTTACATTGCTTCAAACCTGAGAGCTGGTCAAAGTGGAGCCCGCTGATGGGCATTAGTATGCTTTGATGGTGAGAAAATGGACCTGAAACAAGGGTGGCTGTGTGAACTCTGATTCCCAAGAGTGACTATTCACACCAGAAGTTCAACTAAAACAATTTTGCAGTGACTTTCTTAGGCCTGGCATAAGTTTAGCACTTAGTCAGGCTTCAGTATTGTATTTTTAGAGGTACCAATGGATGGGACAGTTGAGTGTACAAGTTTTTTTGTAATGGGCTCCCTAAGAAAACAGGTTGGAAGGGGTTTTGCTTGTTCCTTTTCCTGCTAGTAGCTGCTTTTCAGTTGTGGTTATCAAACTGTCATGTTCATGAACATGCTGCATTTTCTGAGTCACTCTACCTGCAAGGGACTGTTTTAGAGGTACCGCTGAGGTGTGGTTTCAGTGACAAAAGTAAAACCGCAAATGATCCTGATGACTGTCTGACTGAGTTGATTGTGATAGTTGTTACCTTCCTCGCCTATTTTTTAGACTTAACCACGTCAGTGGCGTACCTAATATGGTACCATCTTAGAAACCAGTAGCTGAACTAGAGAAGATGGAGACGGGTGCAGGCACTGTAAAGCAGCTCAGAATATGAGTATTGGCTGGATAATCCTGAGCTCGCGGAGCTGTAAGTGGGGTCATTTTTGTTTGTGCAACGTGCAAGGTCTACTGTTTAGCAACTTGTAACAATTTCTGTTATAAACTGGAGGTTGTCACTTGGTGGTCAGAGAGCTGGCGAGGTGGCCTGAGCATGTTAGCCAGCTGCCCAGCGGTTGGACCGTGGGCCATGGAGGCAAATATTAACATAATTGTACTGGACACTAAATCTGACCCTCCTAGTTTTTAAAACTCTGGGCATTCCTTTAAAGACAAACAAACAAACCCGCTAAGTTTTAACACACTGAGCAGAGGGAAGAGCTATAAGGATCATCCTATTTTATGAAGAGTAGACTAAGATCTGGCTTCTCCAGCATGTGAAGATAAAAGCTGATAAGTGTTTCTCACTGTGATACATTCACAATGAGGTGTGAGTATGAACTTTCATGAGGATGAAAAGATATCAGTCTTGTTGATGCAAGACTAAATGGCAGTAAATTGGCTATAAATAAATTCTGGCTTGAAATGAGCAGGCGGTCCGTACTGCCTGCATCAGCTGGGTGCAGGACAGCCTTTCCAGGAGCAGTGGGAGAGCTGCTACTGGTGAAGCTCTAGCTGAAATATTGCTGCTTTTGTTGCGGTTCTCAGGAATAACTGTATTTAGTGCTGTGGTGTAAGACACTCACAGGGAATGTGGTACACGCAGGATGTGTCTTCTGTTATGTCTTTGCATGGTTTTCCCATGGAGGAGAAGGATAACTAGTAGAGAAACAGTGATAAAGTTCTATTGAGAAATGCTACTTATGATAAGAAAAAATTACTGGGAGCTGCTATTTATGCCTCCTTTCTGATAATGCCATGAGGATAACCAATGTGTGTCATTCTCTCCTAGAAAATTATGGTACAGTGTGACTCTCTCTAATGGCTGCCTTGTTTCACTTTTCTGAAATGCCATGTTGCTGGTAGGAAGAGCGCCATATACATACAACCTGTGCTCACAATCTGGGAATTGGCATAGTGACGTTTTATCGCTAAGCAACAGTTGGCATCATGCTGTCTGCTAGAGCCGTTCCCTGTTCATCCTCTTTGCCTGAAAAATCCAGATCAGCATCTAGCTCAAGGTTTAAGTAGTGAAAAAGAACAGTAGATTGATATCTTATTTTGTGTAAAGTTTGTCATTTGTTTTGTTAGTAAAGCATTAAATAACAATTCAGAGAAATGCAGTCAGGATGTGCTTTGTTTATCCGTAGAACGGCAAATCCTAATGATCTTGGTGCCTTGCAATAGGATGTCTATCGTGTGAAGTGAGGCCAGTTTCCTATACAGCCAGCAATGCCAGATCTCACCGAATACGGCATGAAGTAGCTACGTTACGTACAAATGTGCATCTTTATACTAGTGGATTGTAGGCCTAATATAGATCTTAATTATTTTCTTTAGTGCATACACACACTATAGGATTTAACCTCAAAAGATGAAGATTTGTGCACTGGAGAGCAATATTGATAGCCCTGGATTTTAAATGCCTTTTTTGGTTAAGGGAAGACTTTCTTTGCTGCTTCTGCAAAAGCTAATTGTTAAAAAAAAACAAAAACAAAAAAACCCAAACAAAAAATCTCAGAAAGAAAAGCACTTAAGTATAAATAAAAATCCCAATGGGAGATACTACTAGTTAAGCAGCTCTGGGGGGCTACCTGTTGTTTTAACTTTAGTATTGTCAGTAACGAAACAAAGTGAAATTTATTGCTAAGTTTGTTAACTAAATATCAGATATGCACTGAAAATTCATCCTCTTTTCTTTCTTGATTTGTAAGATCCGTATAATTTATGTTCTACATAAGGATTTTTGTTTGGTGTTTTTGTGGGTGGTTTTTTTTGTTGGGTTTTTTAGTTTTTTGTTGGGTTTTTTTTTCACTTTCATTGCTCTTGTGAATCTCCATTTTAGTAACTACAGTGAATCATACAACATTCCCAATTTCCAGTTTTTATTAGCTACATTCCCAGCTACTCAGTGATGTAGGCTCATTCTTACAGTATATTTTGACCAAGTCCAAGAAAGAGGTATTTTGCCACTTCCTTTGTCGAGACTTTTCCCCTGTCTAGCAGATCCTGTTGTAGCATTTGTATTTTCATTCTGCATCTCTTTTTATTTTGTTTCATCCTTTGCTTCCAAGCATATTTCGCCTACTACATTTGCTTCTTCCTTTGCTGTGTTCCAGTAACCTTTGTATAAGTACATATGCATAGACATTATATATCCTTCATTTAATGAGTAGTTAGACTGTACATACTAAGCTTCCTTCATCTTTTTAAATTATTTCTGCTTATTCTTGCTTCTGTTTGTTAAATCTTATGTTTCTTTTCTAATGTGTCTTGCAGAACAAATGTGTTGTGCCATGAGTGGTTGTAAGAATGAGTGTAAAATAGCGAATGTTTTGCAAGGAACTGATTGATTGTGTGACTCTCTTCACAAGCTCCACTGGTGTGATGTACACACGTGCACAGACACATTTTCTGATCGTAGGGATGAGCCAGAAGACTAAGCACTGTTCTTTGTACTATTTGCCAGTTGACTTTTCAGTGAAGTTCAAGGTCTCGCTACCTGCAGGAGAGTCTAAATGCCCCAGCACAGTGTAGTTCAAAGACATCCTTAAGCAGTTGATTTTGGTCTTGAGTGCTTGTTAGATGGTATAGGTTGGAGCTAAAGGGAGCTTCAGATAGGAAATTTTCAAGTTGCAAGTTTCTCAAGAATTTTTTTCCTGACAGAAATACATATCAACTGGGACTGTTGGCCCGGCAGTATTCAGAAATATTTTTACATGCACTATTGTCCAGATTTTTGCAGACTTCCTCCAGACTTTTCCTTCAGTATCATTTAGAAAACTTGGAAGTTGTTTGGGGTTTTTTTTCCTATCTCTTTTTAAAGACTTTGTTGCTTTTGGTG